CTAGATATCCATTCACATAAGTAAACATACTGAAGACCTGTGCAGGTATCAGAATTGTCATGACAGTATTTTTTTTTCTTTAAAATGTAACAGATTTCACATACTACTTTGAAAAATGTGAGAAAACAGAAGGTGACAAGTCAAGAACTCAGAAAACATTGTGGCTAATACCAGAATTGAGACTGCTTAATGTCTTAATTTCTCCCCTTATGGCATATGCACTATAGCAACATTATATTGTTAAAAGTTATTGTTCCCACTTGGAGAGATGCTTTATGTTACAATTCTAGTAATGTATTTTTAAGCATAGAAAACGCTATGATGAGACTATTATTCCTACCAACTTCAGAAAACATATAAGCAAGTAATGAAGCTGACAGTGGAAAATTAGAAAACCCAAGCAGGTTTCAATTTAAAGCATCAAGAAAGTCAGACTCCTTTGTAATAAGACAATGCTGGAAGCTCCAAGAGAAAAGAAAGGAGAACACATCTGTTCCTACTGACGTCAAGGAGGCTAAGGGCCAGGCTCTGCCCCTGTGCACACACAACTCCCATGACTGTCAGCTGAAGAAACTTGTAACTTAGGGTGCAGCTGAGTCCTGTGCACAGAAGTCAAAAGTTCACAGTATTGTTAAGTGCCATAAATTATTATCAATGCATTTTGCTCGTGCCTAACAATGTTGTACAAACTGAATCTTTAACAGTCCCTGCCTTAAAAATCTGAGTCTAAGAAAATAAGCAACTAGCACTAAGAGGAGGATACTGAGAATCACTGGCAGATTGTCTGCATCCAGAGTTTGGTTATTCTAAACCATGTACAACCAGATCATATTACTTCAAATTTACTATTGCTGAAGATTAGAAAATAATATACTGAATGCTTTTGAATTCATATTCTTTTATTGTTAAATGATCAACCAGAATTTACTTTAAGAATTATTCCCTCACATGGTTTGGAAATTATTGGAGAAATATATCACAACTTTAAAAATGTTTTCTTGATATTGGTTCAGTTATAAAGAAGTCTATTTGAGTATTGCTGACATTGCAGTTCATCTTGCAATATTCTTCTTCATCACAGTACATTTGAGTCCTGGTTTTGGCATATATATTACACTCCAACCAACTGAATAAAATGTGTTAATTTACCTAATTTACTTAAAAGCTTATAAAGCCATAACAGAAAGAAAGAATAAAGAAAGAAAAGAAGAGTAAGGAAGTGAAACAGTGGTCATAGAAAACCAGCTTAATCTACTTGCTTTTAAAAAATATTTACAGACACCATTCTTTCAAAATCAATTTTTTTAAATATTGTCTTTTCTCAGTAGAAAGCCTATCGCAATTTTTATTTTGTGAATAATTTTATTTGTGGGATCTGAAATTACTTCAAATAAACATATAGATCAACTGGATATTAACTTATTACGGGGTGTAACTACGGGTTCTTATGGTGCACTCCTACATCGTATTTCAACATGAGTAAGACTGTTTTGATATCCAGTAGGAATATTACTGTACTCTACTATACTCTACTATATTCTCCATGGGAACCGTAAAATAATGCTCAGTATCTTAAGCTGCACTGCTGCTGACATGTGACAATTGTTTTTTTCAGTCATTTGTTGAATGTTTATGTAAAATTTTTGCCCACATCTCTTAAAAAATTGGCAAAAATTCACAAGAACTGTTTATTCATTGTCTTGCTTTCATTTAAATGCAGTCTGAGGATATGCAGAAGAACTCTGTTATTAAAGTGTATATTAGTACTCAGTTTAATATTAAAAAAAAAGCTTGCAGCAAACTGACAAATAAACTGGTTATAACAATTATAATAACTGTTTATAACAGTTGCAATATAATCTATTGCTCTTCAGGAACCAGCACATTGGCTTGCACTGCAGAAACTACCAAATAATCTGCATTTTGGAAGACATGAAAGTAACACAAATAATTGCCACATAAGCAGGTCCATAAGAAGTAGGCTATTTAGGCAGAAAAAAAAGTGCATGGGAGATTAGAGTTCTTTTCTTATACTCAGTACAACCAATTTTCTCTAGTTTCAGTAGTATAAACTTTAAAGAAGCCTGTGTGCAGTGGTCCTTGTCTCTTCTTATGTTCTTGTACTACTGGCTCTGTGGTGTTGCATGCTATCACCAATTAGGCCACCTAACTGTGAATTCCTAGGTCTCTTTTTATTTCATAAATACCAGTACTACCTGACAATCTCCAAGAATGGGGCAGCACCTCTGACTTCACAAATTTAGATGGAGCTTTACTCCTCTGAACACTCTCTTGATTTTAATCTCCCTATGAAAACAGTAACATCCATTTGTACAGATTCATTTATTCCCCTTCATTGTTTTTCTTTTGCTTCACCTTTTACTCCAGTCAGCAATTATCAGGAAAGCCAGTACTCAGTTTGAGCAAGAGAGCCTTGATTTTTCACCCCTTCCTCACTAAAAAAAAGCTCAACTTCTTTATTTCAGGATTTCTTTACATTTTTACAAGTGATGCACCTTTTGCTGTTTATTATTTAACAATCTAATTTAATTTGAATGCTGGCAAATCTCACCTCATCCTTTCTGTTTCTGACCTCTAAGACACCACGTTCTCCTCTTACTACTTCTGTAATCCTGTTTGAAGTCACTCCCTTTGCAAATAAACAGTCTTCCTTATACAATATTCTCACTTACTGAAGACATTTCCAGACTTTCCCTATATTCAGATATTCAAGAGCTATATTTAGGTTCCCTGCAGCATACTTTTTAAAGCTGAAATGCTTAGATTTCAATCAATTTATATTGACATTCATTTAAAACTGATTGAACCCATGACTGCTAAATCAAAGATTATATCCTCTGACTAAAACAGGCTTTTTGAATGTTGCTAAATGATGAATATCTATATATTTTCTCTACTAAAATAAAATCCTATGTGTCTCACTCATTGCCTTGCTTTTGCAATCATGTATATTGAATAATACTAATTAAAACCCTTGGGCCAAGAGCATTTACTTCTCTTGACTCTGGGATTTACTGCTACCAAAGAAATAATACAAATTAAATACTAATAATTCCTGCTTTTGCACATATCTAGGATTTTCTAGTATGCTAATCATGTAGTGAATTATGAGTTGCTGAACCATATAGCCCAATAGAAGAGAGGCTGCCATAGCAACGTTTTCCTAGGCCTAGTCAGCAGCAAGTCTGAACACATATTCCTAACAGGCATACACACACAGAAAGTGTGTACACACGAATATATATATATATATATAAAAATAAGCACAATTCCTAACAGGCATACACACACAGAAAGTGTGTACACACGAATATATATATATATATATATATATAAATAAGCACAGGGACAGCTACACAGATCAACATAGACAGAAACACTCAAACACAGATGGCATGAATGGTGAAGTCCTGTCCTCCTCTCTGGCACGAGTCCCTGTAACCTGAGGTGTGACTCCTGCTGCTGGCACTTAGAGCCATGCAGAGGCACACATATAGCACAGGGAGACCTCTCACACAGTGAGGTTTAGAAACAGAGTCTAGTCTGGGAGACGCGTCCCGGAGAGACTGAGCTCACCAGGTGCAGGGCATAGCCAGACAAGCAGTCTGACCAGCAGTTTGTTTACACCAGACCTGCCCTATTTACCTCCTCATCCCACTATTTTCTCACACGTGCTCATTCTCATATCACCTTGATCCCTTCCTTTCCCTGTCTTTGGTTCTTTCCCTAAACATCTCATAAATCTTAATCCCAAAGCGTTCCATTATCCATTCCATGACGCGTCGCGTAACCCTAGGCAGTAACACCCACACAGAAAGTTTTGGCTGACTGCTGGGTGTGTCCCCCACCTCCACGGGAATTGAGGCTTCCCTGGGAGAGGCTGGGCATGGGCTGCCTTTGCCCGACCTGGCTCCCCCACCTGCCCAAGTGCTCCTAAACTCCTCTGTGCATGTGGAGAAGAACCTTCAATCACCTAACCTAACACACTGTCAAATCACTGAGATTAAGTAATACTGTTGAGATGCTGCTGGTGCTGCACATTCAGGTCTGCAATGCCAATCAGCAGAAGATGTTCAAGGCAGGGAGTAAACAGGAGCAGCCCAAAATAGAGCAACTGTAGGACTGCACAGGTGAAAAGCCGTACCATAAACCTCCATAAAAATAAACACAATTAATTTCCAAAAGGGAACTTAGGTTCAGAGTTTTTATATTTTATCTGAGAGACTAAGAACTTTATGAGATTTCCCTTTGCTGTTTTCCTCTACCACTACATACAGTCTTCCTACCGCTACCCAGGCCACTGAGGCAGCTCTTCATGTTTCAGACCTTACCACAACGGAGACCATCAACATTTCCAGCACGAGTCTACTCCAAACCCTTGCTAAGGCACCACTTGACCACTGGGTCAACTGAGCAGGCACAGCACCTGGGAAACTCTTGTGTTTGTTTTTCCTGGCAGCTCATCCAGCATAGCTTCTCTCGACCAGACACAACCCTGACTTGCTCTTAAGATATGAAGAGCTCTCAGACTACAATGATTTGGCATGCATCAGTGACACGCATTTGGTGACATCCAAACTAGACTGCCTGGTGTTGTTTATGTAGCAATATAGCTGTGCTTGTCGTGCGTATGGGATGGGTCATGGGATAGTAAACTGTGATAGGAATCCGGCCTTCTTTACAAGCCTGTCGGTCACTCAGTATGTGCACAGCACTCTGTAAGTAACAAAAATAGACATGCTGCCTACTGCTGGGTCTCAGAAATATCAGGACGCCCTTGGTAAGGGGGAAGTTTGCCCAGGTGACCTTGAGCACAGCACAGTGCCTGTGCTCTGCTCTCCCCTTCCGCGCAGATCAGGAGCCACTGCCAGAGGAGCTCTCCTGCAGCATCCCAAGGAGCACTGCATTTTTTTTAGGGGCACGAGCTCAGGAGCGTCCTGAGGCCGGGAGGTGAGAGCGGGAGCAGGGAGCCCGCCCACGAGCACCAGGGATTACAGCCAATTTTCCTTCAAACGGCGAGACCCAGGCACACAGCCCTCCCCGGGGACGCTCTCCCTTGGCTCGGGCCTCGCAGCGCGGCGGGAGCTGCCCTCCCGCGATGCTGCCCTCAGCGCGGTGCGGCCGGGCGGTGCCGAGCCCTGCGGCCGGAGCTCCGCGCTGCCCGCGCCCGCGGAGGGGAGCCCCGGGAGGGCACGGCTGGCGCGGGGCGGAGCGGCCCATCCCGCCGCCGTGCCTGGGGAGGGTCCCCCGGACCGCCACCGCACCCGGGAGACGGTACCGCCCCTCGCAGGCTCCCGGGCGGTCGGGCACGGGTGTTCCCGCGGGAGCGGCGTTCCCTCCGGGGCGGGTGGAGCGGCGGGGCCCCGCGGGGCTCGGGCCGCCGGCCGGCGGGGCCGTCTCCCCCTCCGCGGCGGGAGCGGAGTGCGGCGGCCCGCGGAGGGGGCGGGGAGGATGACTTCATGCCGCCGGAGCGCCGTGAATTTAGGAGCAGCAGCTGCCGCCGCCGCCGGCGGGATGTGGGGGTGAAGTGACAGCGGGAGCTGCCGCCGGCTGAGGGAGGAACAGCGCCGGGCACCCGCCGAGCCCGAGGGCTCTGGGCCGCTACCAGCAGCCGCTGCGGGAGAGAAGGAGGGAGGGAGGAAGATGCGCTGAGCCGGTCGCTGAAAGGTGAGCGGGAGCTGCCGGGTGCGGGGGCGGGCGCTGCGGCGCTGCCCGGCCGGAGGAGCGCGGCGCTGCCGCTGCGAGCCCCCGGCCCGGCCCTGCCCGCTGCCCTGCCCGGGCAGCCTCTGGAGCGGGGCTGCGGCTCGTAGCTTCCTCCTCTTTCCCTCTCCTGCCATCTGCCGTGGTTCCCTCCAAAAGCGGCAAGGCTGCGCTCTCTGAAGCGCCACAGTGGTGCGTTTTATCTTCCGTGGCCAGGATGTGCGGTGGCTCGGTGCCAGCTGCCGCTCGGGCTGCTCTCCGTGCCCGCGCCGGGGCAGCCTGGCGGTGGGAGCGGGAGCGGGAGGGATGCGACAGGTGCGGGGCTGAGCCCGCGCTCTCCCCGGTCCGATGCGCGTTCCTCAAGTGACGGGGAAGACATCTTAGGGCAGAAGGGCTTCAAGGGAACAGAAGCAAAAAAAACCAAAAATGTCATTTCATGCACGTCCTGGATTTGGAAGTCGCCTCACAGGAAACTAAAGAGTGTAGAAGTTGGGGAACCGGCCCTTACACCAAAATGGATTCTGTCGTCTTCTATCAAGACTTGTGTGGTTTTTACCCGTTATACGTTTTTATCTAGCCTAAGGCTCACGACAAACAAAATAGCAGCAAAATTCAAATGCGTGTGTTTGTTAATGGAAGAATTAGTGAATTGCTGTGCTATCATGTCACCTGTAGAAGCGGAAAAAACAAGAATATGCATATTGTAGCTTGGCTGTTAACATTACACATTGTGGTATGTGCATAGGTCTTAACATCAAATTTTGTGGTATTTTGGAATTGAGAAGGCAAAAAAATTTGCCTGACCTATTTCTGTGCCTGATACACTGGTGGTTTTTGTTGGGTTGTTTTGGTTTGGTTTTATTTTTTGTTGATTAGTTTGGTTTTATTTTTGAAGCTTGTTCTGGTTTAAAAAAGAAAACTTGCCCTAAAGCAGGTATAGCAATACAGGAGGTGTGCAGACAACAGCTCATTAGAATAGAAACTATCTGCGTATGTAGTGGTTAATGGCTCTGTGTGGTTTGGAAATGAAAGCAATGACTGTGTCTGTGGGAAGTAAAGAATTGGGAATTAATCTGTTCTTAATGAAAAAGGAAGCAGGATACTGAAAGCTCAAGGTTGTTTTATTCAATGTCTATTTACCTATAGCTCATCTTCGAGGATCCTGTTACCCAAGGGTTCACAGAAGCTCAGATGGTGTGGTTGTGGTTGAAGCCTCTGGTCGTGGTGCTAGAGTGGCACCTAGTAATCCTTAGGGAGGTAACAGGGAGTTGCTTTATTTGTTGTCATTTTTTCTGGGAAGATATTTAAATGCAGTCTGTACTGTTGCTGGGTACGCAGAAGGCAAATGACAGCTACAGAGACAGAAAATGTGTATTAAAAACAATTGAGCTTTCACAAGGCTGAAACAAAGAGCGAGTGATGAACTGCAGAGTCAGAAATCAGTCCAACAGACAAATCTTTTCTCCGAAGCACAGTCATTAACTATGATCCTTGTTGCTTTAAGTTGTGGTACATGTAATGTATGTATTTCAAACTAGGAAAAAGAAACAAACAAAGTTTTGTCAAACTTGTGTCTTTCATCGACCATACATTTATGTTGTTCCTGTAAAAACTGTGAAGCATTAGTTAGGACATTTCTATTGGTTTTTTTTCTTTCTAGAATTAAGCATGGCAGACGGTTTCAGCAATGTTCTTCTCTAGTTGCATTTGGTTTGAAAAAGAAACCATGTAGCTGGGTTCAGATGCTTCACATATTAGCCCATTCAATCTATAAAAAGTCAGTTTCTTCACCAGAGTGAAGAAATCAAGTAATGGCACCCCAGGCAGTTGTTGCAAGCTGGGGTACTATGACTACTCACTAATGTTGACACAATGTTGTCACAGCAAATTTAGCTCTTCATGCTTCCTGGCAAACCTAATTTTTCAAGACTCTTTATTCTTAAAAAATTAACTTTTTTTTATGCAATATGGTAGCAGAGATGAAGCAGTGGTTGATCAAGAACCCCACTGCAAACTTGAATTGCTTTTGTTTTTATCTTGTGTACTGTAAAGGCAGGTGGTGTAATGCGCACATGTCCATAGAAGAAAAAGTATAAGTAATTATCAATGTGAGTATAGTTCAATGGTGTAACTGGTGTAAATCCACTGCCTACAGATTTCTTTCCCAAACTCTTCTTGCTCCTTCTATTACTGTAACTTTCCATACTTCTGACAGCCAAAGGAAAGCATCTTTATTGTGGTTGATCTGGGGCAGCAGCACCACTGACTGGAAGAACAGCCTAGTTGGCCAGCTGGTTGGTGCCAGACAGACTGGGTAGCAGCTGAGATTTTAGTTGTCTTTTTCCTCAGAGGTTCTGCTATTTTGGAATTCTTCATCTGGGTTTGTTCTTCAGATATGTAAGAGCTTAATTATCTTTGAGGTTTCTAGGCTGCTGTCAGCCTTTGAACCGGCAGGTTCATTTACCCAATTTTATTAGTGGGGACCAGATGGGAATGTTTGCAAAAGGCTTGTTGCCTTAGTAGAACAAACTGGAAACCCCAGTGACCTTGAATGCACTTGAAGTTGCAGAGGTTTGATTTCACTTCTGGTCCTTTCCAAGGGCTGAGATGAAACACTTCAGTTGAATTTATTTTCTATTATTATGAGAATTTAAAAGTGATGTTACCAAGCGCTGTTTGAACTAACTGAAATAGCTATGTCTCAGAGCAAGCAGGTAATTTTTCACTTATGTTGTTACTAGGCTTTCTGTTGGATTATTTCTTCCAATTTAAGAATTCTATTTAAAAAGGCTTGAGCAGGGTAGAAGGGGACAGATATTACACAATTAACTTAAAACTTTAGCATGTGCAAACAATCAAGAGTATTTCAACAGTAGTGATACCATTTTTTATTTTGAAGAAATGCATTCACACTTTCAAAATGCATGTCCTTCATGTGCAATAGCTCATGTTTCTGGGAGAGAAAAAAATTATTTCTGAAAATAAATGCCAGGCACAAACTGAAACTTTCTCCTACTATGCAAATGGATTCCTTGTTGGACTAACTGTCAATAGAGGATCTTGATGTGAGTGCTCAGTAAACTGCAAAGGTAGCAATCATTAAAGAGACCTAAGTGTTTTATCCATTTATAGTATATTAGTGGTGGCAACAAGACAGGTATTGATAATCTTATTTTGAATTTGACACATTCAAGTAAGTCACTGCTTCACAACCTGGATAATGAGCCCCTGAGTTTAATATGAAATGTGGAGATAGAAATGCTGAGTTCATGTATGCTTCTTGCAAAAGAAAGCTGGTTGAAGCCTTTCCCTTGAAGGGGACTGCATGTAAACAGCAGGAAAAGCATGGATCTATTTATATGTATTGCTTTCATGATGCATCGAGAGACTGGCTTTGAGAAAACTTCAATATTGTCTACTCTTAGAAAATTACTGTATTAAGACAACGTTATAAAATAAATGATCTGGTTGTACAAGAACTGTATGTTTCTAGTATATATCCCAGTCTCAAAATATAATCATATAGGAGGAGAAAGTAACACAAAATGGACTCTTATAGGACAGTTGGTGCAAATGTCCCAGCCAAATGCCAGATCAAAAATTTTCTTTTATTTTTCCTTTAATTTGTATGGTAAAACCAGTAAGATATGATAGTGGGTTTTGTCTTCCCTAAAATACTGAAGACACGCTGCATTTCTGTGATTGTAAAGTGATTCCAGGGCATCTCTACTCTTCTTCCCTGGCTGAACTAAGGATAAAACATGAACTGTGAGGAGAGCTGCAGTTAGAAGAATTTCCATGTCAGCTGGGGCGTAGTTCTCTCTAGCAGAATTTGGTGTGTTTTCTAACCTTTATTAAAACAAATTTAAAAATTGGCTGCATTGCTGTTCTTTGGCTTTATAGGACTCATGAGGAATTTAACTTGCCTTTATGGCAACTGCCTGCTCTCTGCACAGTTCTGTATCCCTGTCTGCACTCATGTCCTGATGGCTCATCACATGTTAGAGGCAAATGGGTCTTATGCTAACATACAGTCTTAGTTTCTCTTACTCTGACTGCTTCTTTTTGTCACGTTTTTGTTCTAGCAACTATTCCATAATATTCAAAGGTATATTGAAGTTATTTTGGCAGCTGTTAGCTAGCCCATGAAATGTGCTGCAGCTTTAATGAGATCATATAGATCTTAATATATCCATATAATTATATATATTATATAATATATATATTTGCTAACTATTCACTCATTTGCCTTCTACCTCCTACAGTATTTCCACTTACACATATGGTGAGCACATAACTTTGGTGAAACGATCTCACCACCTGTTGTTTTAAAATAGCACAGATGCTTATTAATGGTCCTTCCATGATGCTGTTTATAGTACATGTGAAACCTCACTTAAAATACTGTGGATCATGTTGGTAAAGGATATTATTACTTCAGCAGCAGCCTTAAATTGATTCCTGTTCAGCATCTTAACTTGTCGGTTATTAGCAGGTAGGAGAGAGGTAAACCACAGAAGAGTCAAAATTGTGATGCTCATCAAGTGAGCTGTCATTGAATCCTTCACAAGGTGTTCTGTGGAAATGCCTGCTGCCTTGTGGATAACTAGTCAACCCAAGAGCTGCAAAAATCATGAGCACACAGATTATATACACTCGTAAGTCTTGTGCTCAGCTGAAATGAATTCCTTGAGGCCAAGCTCAACAGCCCTTTCACACTTCACAAAGCAAGGGAAAGGAAATAATTGCAGAACTTAACCTTGACTGAGACTGTTGCCTAATATGTATATATCTTTTTGCCATAGAAAAGTAATTTCTAAGCTCACTAAATTAAGTTTAGGTACATAAATGTTCCATCAGTTCCTGTATTCTTTGTTCAATCTCATGAGTCACTTGGATTCTCAGTTTGAATTTCAAAGAATTTCTAGAGTTCTGCCTAATATTCCTGCTCTGTAGCTCTCTACATTTGCCTTGGATTTTTTATTTTTGGGGGATTTTTTGGGTTTTTTTTGCCTAACACAGTCAAAGAGGAAGTTAAAAATGTGTTTCATCTTTGAAACCATGTATCTGCAGGCAGACCAAGAAAAATTTTTGATATAAAGGGTCAGTTTGCTAAGATGTAAATGTGAAAGTGCAGTCAGGCTAAACAGACTCAGCTACTTTCAACCTTACCAAGGTGCCAACTTGAGGCACAGAAAG